CTGTGTGATACCCTGCACCACCTTGGAACTCTGTAGAGAGTTCCCACCAAGAAGGCAGCCCTCACCAGGTGCACCCCCTGGACCTTGGACTTCCCAGCCTCCAAAACTGTAGGAAATAAGTTTCATTTTTCCATAAATCACCCAGTTTCAAGTATTCTGTTGTAAGCAATGGAAGATGGATTAATACACCCTGTCATACAGTATATACCCTTTCAGTACATGGTGTCAGGAATTCTTTTATTTAAGGAAACTTTTTGAATTATTTATGAAAATAATGGTTCTGCTCCATCCCTCCCCCCCACCAGGAACTCTAGTGATGCATATGTGGGATCTATTTTGCTTGACTTCTGCATTTATTTTTCTAATTCTTTAAAAAAAAATTTTTTTTTTAATATTTTGTAATAATTATAGATTTACAGGAAGGTGCATAGGTAGTGTAGAGAGGTCCTGTGTACCCTTCACCCAGTTTCCCCCACTGGTTATATCTAATTATAGTGCAGTATCACAGCCAGGAACTTGACATGGGTACCATGTGTGGGTAGAGTTCAATGTCATTTTGTCACCAGTGTGGATTCATGTATCCACCCTGTTGTCAAATATACTGAATTGTTCTGTCACTGCACTGGTGTGCCTCTTTCTTCATTTCTCTTTCATTTTGTTTACATTTCCCATATCTTATATCTAGGTTCCTGACAGTGTTTTCTGCAATGTCTCTTTCCCCTTGTATACTTTACAATTTCAACTTATTTTCTTTGGTTTTGACATTTTAAAAAACGTATATGAAGGCATTCAATAAAAACTATAAATTTTCTTTTTTTTTTTTTGTCTTTTTTTCGTGTCCGGCAACGGATCGCAACCCTCAGTGTCGCGCCCGTACCGGACCGGGACCGGCAACGGGATCGCAACCCTCGGTGCTGTGCCCGCACCTCGCTCAGCCAGTGAGTGGGAACCGGTCTGTATGTGGGATCCGAACCCTCGGCGGGAGTGCTGCAGCGCTCCCAAGCGGCGCACTATAGCAGTGCGCCACCGGGCTGGCCCCAAAACTATAAATTTTCTATAATGACATACATTTTGTGATCTTTCTCTTCTAAACTGCCCTTTACTGCATGATCAGAGCCAAAATACAGGGCTGAGTGGTCTCACTCTCAGACCCACCTGTTTTATTTTGTTTTTTTTTTTATACTCTTAATAAAATTTATTTATGAAGTGTGGGTAACATGCCATAGGGAAATACTGAATTTTCTCAGAAACTTGGCATATGGCCAGATATTATGAATGAGGAAATCATGTTCACCTTTCTAAAGTGACCATGGCATTGGTGAGCTCACTCCACATGGTAAACTAGCCATGCACACGCACCCTCACCTCTCTGCCTGGAGCAAAACCATGGGACTTAGTGAGAAATGGTCAATTTATCAGAGGGTAAGTATGTTGTGTGCCAAAATTGCTGGAGAATACAATATGAGAGTGACCTTGTGTTGCTGAGTTGCTTAGCATATGTTTTTTTTGCTTCCAGACTTAGTAAAGCAAATACCAGTTGGGGTCTGTTGATCAGTGTCTGGTGTATAGTTTAATCCATGAATACTTCAGAGTTAAGGTTTACCCTACTAGCAAGCTTGTAGTCAAGTTGTAGGCCTCTCCTCACTCAATTTTACAATTTCCCAGTGTGCATTTTTGTATTATATTTTTATTGTAGTATAATTAACATATCTTAGGGGTTTCCTCTGATGAGTTTTTGACACTTACTTATGTACACCTGTGTAGACACCACCCCCCGAAATATGTAGCACATTTCCATCGCTCCATTAACTACTCTTGCTTCTTTCTAGTCCGTTCTCCGTTCCCCACCCTGGCATCCACTTTCTGATTTGTGTCACCATAGTTCACTTTTGTTTTTTCCTGGCTTTTATATAAATGGAATCATGCAGTAGGTTCCTTTTTGTGCTTGGCTTCTTCCACTTAACATGTTTTTGAGATTCCTCCCTGTTGTTGCATGTATCAGTAGCTAATCATGTTTACTGCTAAGTAGCAGTCCAGACATTCTCCTTTTGCACAATATGCATTTTTGTCTAAGACTAAATTTCTGGCTCTATTTTATGGTTCTACCACTATTTTCCCTCATCAACTTCAAATGAACATGTGAGTCTCTTTCAGTTGACTTTCCTGGAATGTGGTAACTTCTGCATGCATAGTTTCTTTCTGCTGAAGAAAGTTTTATTTTCTGTTACCATGGATTATTGCTTGTGTTCTACTTCTTCTTGCCTTCTTTTGAGTACAGCAGTTGGCCATTAGCTGATACTCCCTTCTCTGGTCATCCATGACTGTTTTCTTTTTCCTCACTTTTATGTAAGTCTATAATAAGGGATAGTTGTTTAGGTGTGTATCTTCTGCATCACTAATTTTCTGTAGTATTAACCATGGTTTTCATTGCTGCCACTGTAGATTTTAATTTTGTATATATTTGTCTTTATTGAAATCCTTCTTAAATACTTTTTTTATTGAGATGAAATGGGTCTGAGATCTTTATTCCTACTTTTTTTTTCTGGTTCCTACCAGTTCATATTTCATTTCTTCCTGTTTTCTCTTCATGTCCTCTCTTCCTTCATCTGTCTCATCCTTAATAGTTTGTATTTCTGCTTTATGATTGTTGTTCATAGAGGTGATTGCTTCATTAAGTATTTTGATATTCATGGTGAAATGTTGGTCAAAATTTCTTCTGTTCAGTGGTAACATTTTTCTGGTGATTGTACTTTACCTGGTAAGTTTTGCTGCTCTTTAGCACTCCTGGTAGCTGGTCTCCTGGCTCCTAGCTAGTTTCTAGCTGGTCTGCAGAGCCAATTTAGAGATTCTAATTCCAGAGTAGCCTCTAAGTCTCTTTGTGGCCAGCACCTAGGCAGTTTTTGGATTCCTTTTAAGTCTGACCTCTTGACTGAAATTTCTCTCCTTTTATTTCCACATGTATTCCTGCAGTTCATTTGTCGTACTTTTGGTAATTTAAGCTAAGTGCATTTATTTCTGTCAGCAAAAGGAGCCAAATTAACACAACACAGTATCACAGTGACCCAGAACTTTCTTTATGCTGTATCATGGTGTGTGTGTGTGTGTGTGTGTGTGTGTGTGTCCATGTGCATACAGAAACCCATGTAATTGGTGCCTTAGTCCATTTTTCTGTTGCTATAACTGAATGCCACTGACTCAGTAATTATAAGGAAAAGAAACTTATTTCTTACAGTTTTGGAGGCTAGGAAGTCAAGGTTGAGGAGCCACCTCTGGTGTGGGCCTTCTTGCTGGTGAGGACTGCAGATCCTGAGGCAGGGCATAACATGACAAGGGTGCTTATGACAGCTAACCTGGCTTTTATAAAAGACACACTCTTTTTTTTTTTTTTTTCCTTTTTTTGTCTTTTTTCGTGTCCGGCAACGGATCGCAACCCTCGGTATTGCTCCCACACCTCGCTCAGCCAGTGAGCGGGAACCGGTCTGTATGTGGGATCCGAACCCTCGGCGGGAGCGCCACCGCGCTCCCAAGCGGCGCACTGTAGCAGTGCGCCACCGGGCCGGCCCAAGACACACTCTTTTGATAACTAGCCCAGTCCCTTGAATAACCCATTAGTACATTCACCCATGAGGATGAGCCCTCATGACCCAATCACCTCCCAAAGGTCCTACCTCTCAACACTGCTGCATTGGGAACCAAGTTTCCAACACATGAACATTTGGAGGACACATTCAAACCACAGCAATAGTCCTGAAGCAGTTTGGTTAATAATAATTTGTCTCCAATAATTTGGTTAGAAACTTACTAGTATTTTGACAGTGCAGTCTTGATTTGAGGATTTTTAAAAGTCCAAAATTCAAATTTGGATCTTCTCTGTGTGTCGATTACCTAGCTGAGTATTCTGAACTTTGTGCAAAAAGGAAAAAAGGGGGGTAAAATTCAGTCAATTTAAGGGTTGAGCTGAAGCAAGTGGCAGAGCATTCAGTATGTGTGGAAACTGTTTCCAAAGATGGCTTGATGCTGTGTCCTGTCCCCTGTGCTCTTTTGCACTGTGACTTTGGCATTTCCCCTCAAGAGGTGCAGTCTGTTTCCCCTTTCCTTGGCATCTGGGCTGGTGGGTACTGACAAAATAAAGTAACACTAGTTTGGTGAGGG